AATTAAAAATATTTTAAATTTAACAAATAACGCAAAATTATAAAAAAAATGTTTAAAAAGTTACTTTTTTCTCTTTTTTTTAATCACTGTTGAAACTGAACAACATTTTTTTTTATCGTAACAGGATCTTGTAAGACATTTATTCCAGTTTTTGAAACTACACTTATTCTCTGTGCGGTCATTGGTTGCTGAAATATCGATGATAAAAAAAAAATCCTTTTTCATTAAAAATCAAAAATCTCAGCGACTAATTGACGTAACAAAATGTAGAAAAAAAGCATATTAAAGCTGAATGAACAGGCCTTTCAAAAATCACCAAAAAATTTAGGAAATATTTTTTCCCTTATTTTTTGGAGTAGTGTATATCAGGGTGCGCCAGAGAAAAATTTCGAGTAACACAAGTTACCAGGAACATGGAAAAAATGTTAAAAAATTTGACATTTATTTTTTGACATTTGACATTTTTTTATATCTATTTAAGGATACTGATGATCTTGTATATGTTTTTTTTTTACAATTACTTAGTAAAGGTACCAATAAAAGCCATAAATAACATTGAACAGAGTTACAATTTACGATACAGCTTCTTTGTTTCCTCTTCTAATAGACTGTAGCAAAAAAAATGGAAAATTATTTTTCCAACAGAAATAAATAGAGTCAAAGTGCAAATTTTAAACTCTCATAACTTCGAAATTTTTATAGATAACATTTTTTAACATTTTCTTCATGTTCCTGGTATCTTACCTTATATGGCATTTTTCTCTAGGGCGCGAGTTCTGGCGCAGCCTGTATACATTAAAGCGATTGACAAGGTATCTATAGCAGCCTTGGTACTTTATTTTCCAATTTTCTGGTCCAATTTTAATGGAAAAATCGTTTCTTTTTGCATTTTTTAGAACAACACAATTTTTTTTTGCTAATTAAAATATGAATTTGCGAACTATTTTAATTACGTATCAAATAGACAAGATATCATACCGTTTCATAGTATTTTTTTACTACACTAAATTTTTAATGCAAATAATTCTACATTAGTCTACCACTCAGCGACTAATTTATGACCAAAAACAATAGAAAGGTGTAATAATACTTCCACTAAATATGGCAGCTTGAACTATCTCTTGAAGATGTTCCGATGATTCATTGTTTTTTAAATGAAATCAGTTGTTACGTAAGTCCTTTTCTAATGATAATGGATTTGTGTAATAGTAATAATACAACATTTACATAATAATGAAAAGTGGCTTCAAATTAATTGAATTGCTTCTCTTCAGACATTTTTCCTGTTTTTTCTCATAATACCAAATTTATTAACTCTGTATGAGTACCATAAAACATCCAGATGTCTTCATTAATTGTTAGGGTTTACCAAACCCCATTTACGACTCAAATAAAGCCGGTTATTACTCATAAACAAAACATCGCAAATTGCTCGATTAAATTATTTCAATTCAAAACACCGAACAAATTGTAAGTTTTGACTCATTTTTTTAGTGGTACAATTCCCACGTAAAGTGACGTCAAATCGTCTCGAAAATCTCTCCAATATACTTTCGATCGGAAAGGAGAAGAAACGACTTTATGAATAATTAATTCGAAACGTTTGTACCACGTGGGTGAGCACCCACTTGCAATCAACATCGCTATAAAACCAGTTATGGTTATTTAACACTAGCGAACTAATTACGAGGTGTTTTCTCGGAACAGTTGACAGCAAGGACGTGTAATTCGGAATGAAAGTTACTAATTTGGAGATGATACAATAACAACACCAAAAAAAATTTTGAACGCTGAAAAATGAAAGTCAAGTCTTTGATTAGTTCGCACGTGATTCGTTTGTCGTTTGTTATGATTATGCACTAATAAGAAACTAATTAGCGGCTGCAGCGCAACGATACAAAGCTTTTGAAGCGTGACAAGCGTGATTAAAGCATGGTGTTATGCAATATTTCGATTAAAAAATACTCACTACACCTGAGCTCAGTGGCGTAGAAGCTACCTAGGTGCGGGGGTTAGACAGCATCCTGTGAAAAGAAAAACAACGCCACACGTCACACCATGTACAGTACTTGAACAACAAAGCGTCTTTGTGTTAGTTTCAGACGCATACAAGGCATTTTTTAAAAGTGTAGCTTGGAATTTGAATGAATCATCTTTGCCAATGTTGAGTGAAAAAGGCGCGAGATTCTAACTAAAATTAGTTAAGAGGCATTAAACTTGTTTTGAGTGAGTGCACTTGAGACTAAATGCAGCGTTTGAACTTGATGGTCTCAAAATAAATCGTTTGGCAGTAAATTCAAGCTCAGGTGTGAATTTATCATTGACTATTATTAAATACGTCCGGAAGTATTAGGGCGAAATTTTGATCAAACATTCAAACGACATCGAATATTGCTTTGTGAGACTCTGGAGCAGTGCCAAAACTGCACGAATATCGAGTTTGCAACTGGAAAAACCGTGTAACTAGGCCAGGAAACTTCCACCGCAATTTTTCTCTAAATACAAGCAAAATGCGCATGCGATTGGCAAAGAAAAACCATTACCTGAAGAAAAGTTGTGATTAATATCGTGGGGGTTAGAAATGGACAAAATTGTGTCAATAAAATTACTTACAAAATGCGAGCGAGGAAAAGGCATCGTATCAGTCTTCAACTCGTGGAATTTCACACCAGCCCTTACCGATAATTAACGTATAGAAACACAACGGAATTTTTATTTTCACACAATTAATACTTGTCAGGAAGCCAAAATTTAACGAATTTGTTCTAAAATTCGCAAGATGAACAGCACGGAATCATCTGGAATTATTCGCGCAATCAACGACACGCCCGCGCTTTACTCGCAATCGTAACAACACGAAAAACACAAAAAAGGATGTCGTAACTCGACCGAAACCATATTTCTGGTTACTTTTAGGAACATTTGTTGTTGTTGCTGTTTTTTTGACAGGTTTGATCCAGTGGCGGTTTTGTCGGACCAACCCTAGTCAAATGAGTAAAATACCACCGGTAAGTCTTTTTGACACATTCGAACTACTAGGTTAATTAATTATACAAATCAGGGTCTATTTTAGTAAAATTGAGCGGTATGAGTCGAGTCCGATGCACGATTTGCCGGCAACGGTTGCCAACACTCAAAACACTAAAGTCCCACTACTTGTGTCATTCAAAAATTCAAATAATTAAGGAAATTGTTAAAAATAGCATCAATAATGCGACACCGTTCCACACAAGGAAGAAAAAACGCAAAATTTATGACCTTTACAAAACTGTCTATTTGCATGACAAAGTACAAATTAAATACAACCACGACACTATCATAATTGAGGATGATAGCAACACAGACAATCTCATTGAGTTAACTTTTGATAAAGACAAGAAAGCCAAACGTAAAAAAGTCCATGAGTCCAAACGCCGTCCTCGCAAAAATAAGAAATTGGATAAACTGCTAAAAATAGGTATCAAGAAAATCGTAGAGACCCCCAAATCCTTACACCACCAAACTGGCGAATTTTACGAGTGTCACTGCATGGAAAAACCTGTAACAACCACCCCAGAGACTACACCTAGTTCCAACAAACAAATCTACTGCACTTTTTGCGGCAGCGCTTTTCAGACCATAGCTGAATTACTCAACCATGAAAGCTACCACCAGTACTACTGCAAGTTATGCAATCGGATTTTTTACATGTCCAATCACAAAGAACACATCTCACAACATCTTCCGCGAATTTACGTTTGCTACTTATGCGGGTTTGAATTTGGATGCAAAGAGGTGCTATTGGGACATTTGGGGTACCATTTCGAGCAACAAACTTTCGAAAATATCTTGAATATGGAGCAGGATTATAATGTGTACGGCTTTTGTAGTCCGAATTTTACCTCAGGGGATTATTATTCTAATATTAGTAATATTTTATTTTTCTTGACTTACCCCTACGACCATAATTATAGTCGGGGTATGTTCATGAAAGTCGTTTGTGATATTTGTTACCGAGAATTTTTCATACATGATTACGAGCGACACATGCAAACTGTTCATTTTTTGCGTTGAAATGAGATTTTTTAAGTTTTAGGCTAAGGGATTTTTGCCAAAGATGATCTCGAGAGTGATATTTGAGTTTTGTTGAGAATTGTTTTTAATTTATTTTTGTTACATTTGAATAGAATATTTTTTCAGTTTTTGTTGATTTTTATTACCTCCATATTTGTGTCGCATTGTTGGTTGCATAATCACAAAGGGGACAACAAACGAAAAATCAGGAATTATTATGTGCAGAAGTAATTTATTATGTTATTATAATGTTAAGGCTTGGTCTTAGTGATAACACCTGATTTTATAATATTACAATGTAACTGTACAATTGTTGAAACGTAATGTAATCGTCAGTCGTAATACACAATGCAACGTCTGTTTCGAAACTGATCAGATAGCCATTTGAATGAAAGCGTTAGAACTGAAAATCGCAACTTTTGTACAATTGCAGTGTACGTTGATATTTGAGTATCAGTCAAAAATGTCGAAAACTCATAACCCTACACAAATATAAATAGCTACTGTAGTTATAAAATCGATTTACATCATTGGCTATGATACGGAGAAAATTTCACAGTAAATCACAAGTTGGATTTTTCAAAAATACGAAATGCGACAGGGGCCAAAACGATAAACGCAACTTCTACAGACGTTACGATCATTACATTATAATATATATCGTGGGTTAAGTCGATTAGCTCGAGTTACGTCAACGTTCACAATGAGAGAAACAAAGCTACAACAGAAATTATTTTTGGCCATTTTTCGATACTAGAACGTTGGCGAAACTGCCGGCCCTAAAATTACAACAAAGTGAAATTTGTTATGTAGACAAATAAAGATTTATCTCAGAGTTGGGTAATTTTACAAAAATTAACATTAACACCACCATACTGCGTTATATGTACACAATCATTCATGCTTATATAATTTATACAGTTTTTCTTCTATCATAGTGATGAAAATATCTTCTGATAAATTTATAATTAAACACATATAAATGAGTCTATTGTTAATGGTTACATATCCATCGATTTGCTGTGTTTCCACTATTTGCTTCAATAAGTCGTAGGGTAACCGAATTGTGGCTCTTCTAAATTAAAAAAAAATGGCTAAAAGAGTTAGTTAAAGGGCACTTTTTGATCGTAACTTTATTGAAGCAAACGTTCACTCAAGAAGGGCTTGAACCAAGCAGAGCAAACCAAGTTCGTAGCTGTATTTTCGTTGCCAACATAAATCAAATTTCATTGCACATATCTTATATAAATTAACGTCTTAAATATACCGAGATATAGTTTGTATCACATGTTTTAAAGATCAGTTAATAATATCAACACTGTTTTTTCCCAATATTTTTACATGGATTTCAAGTTTGTTTATCACAAAACTAACATTCGGGGAAAACTTCTTTACACTTGATTTTAAGACGATTTTTGCCACCGGGTTTGTATTAGGGTCCCAACAAACAAAAGAAAAAAAAAAACAAACAAAATTTATTAAATCAAGCATTTATAAAAACTTAAGTACTTTCAAAAATAATGTAATAAAACAATACGGTTACAAACCGTAACCCTATTTGTCATACTATAGGTTCCTCTCTTTTGAAATTAATATTTTGCGAAGCACAGAAATCGCGCGTGAACGGTATACAATTGAAGTACGAGCAGATTTTGCAGTCGTAAACCGGTATAATGTAGAAGAGGAGGACCAGACAGATAAAAAGGACCCCAGCCGAGACCAAACACACCCAAATCAGGACAATCTTCTTGCGTCTTTCGTACACACCGAACGAAATAAACGGCAACAACGCGTACGATAACAGAAAACCGAACACAAAACCGAACAAATGAGCGTAATTATCGACCCAAGGCAGGAGGCCGATAAGGAAGAGGACGAGAGTGATGGAGAGGAGCTTACAGAGGGCCTGGTTGGGGTGTTTCAGCATGGGCCACGAGTTGAGAACCTCCACGATCAGACACGCCAACAGCCCGAATTGCGACCCGGCAGGACCAACCTTGAAAAAACAAATTAACACATCAACCAGCGCTTTTGTGAGACTTACATCGGCTCGATAGGGCACGAAGATGGCGCTGGCGAGGTTACCGGCGACGCCCGACCCGATGTAGATGATGCCGATGCGGAGACTCCCCGTCAGTTTTTCCAAATCTCGCATCAAGAAATACTGGATGAGGACAGTGACGGCCAGCTGGAGGACTCCGGCGTGGAGAAACAAGGAGGTCCACAGGCGGTAGAACTGATCTGGGGTTTCGGCGAAGTAGAACGGAAGCATTCCGCACACGTCGTTCAAACAAGACACCTGGAAAATTGGTAATGAGGGTGAAACTTTGACGAAAAAAATTACGCTGTTTCACTCCCTTAATTAAATCCAGGATTTCTCTAGAGTCCAGAGGATAATAATTTACATAATTTTTAGTCGGAAACTAAGTTTGAGTTAGAATGTGGCTCGGTGGAATGAAAGTGGTACATATTGTTTTATTGTTTGACAAAGTGACGTTTTACGAGCGAGTAAGGAAACTAGAATGCCGAAAATCCATTATAATGCTGATGACACGCTCGTTAATTTTGCAAAAAATGTACGGTTTAGGAGGACCTACTCATTTATTATGTACCTCTATGTGACAATATTCATAAAAAACGATCCTGAAGGATTTTATTTTTTCGATGTCATTGTAAATTTGTAATTTTCATGAAAAATAAATATCTGATCTCTATTTCTATCAAAACAGACAAAAAAGGTATTTGAAAAGCGATAACTAATAAATAAATCAAATACTGTAAAAATGGAGCTAAAAATAAAATTAAAATTTCCTAATAATCGTTTTTTTGTGCATACGTTACAAAGATTAAAAATTAGGTCAGATCGATGAAATGTGACATTTCCACTTCCCTCACCATACTTTAAATCCTTTATGCAACATCGACAAAATCTAAATTTATGACTTAACGCTATTTTTGGATTAACAATCGTTCATTTTATACGACTTGCAGGCGTCCCTTGTTATTTTTTAATCGGGTCAGAATTACCGACCACATGACCTTTTCGTAAAAAGTTGCGATCATCTAAATCGGAGACATTTTCCATAAAAAAACTCGTTTAATACAATTAAAATATCAATATAACTTTTACTCGCTTCGGGCTATTAAGCGCCACATAAAAATGTAAAACTGCAAACTTCGTAACAATGTAAAAAATCGCGTTTTTACCTGCGAGCACAAGGAAGCTTCTTCGTGAAACGTCCCTTGAACGAAATCGCAGTACTCCTTGGTGGTGATTTTGCATTGGCCGTGGATGCCAATGCAGCATGGGTGTCCAATGACTTCACAGACCATATGTTCGGCGCTTTTATCCCGACTTCCACTACGTTTCTGAATGGAGAATTGGGTGTTGGTCTTGCGACAAATGGGCCATTTTGTGATGTCATCGGGCCATTCGTATGGGTGCACACTTGCCGGGGCATCACAAAATCTGTAAAAATCGACATGAGTAACACTAGTGATGTTTAAAAAAAAGTTACTTTGGGTCTAAGCCGCAGACTGAACCGGAAATGCGCCCCCCAGGACCTGCCTCGCCGGCGCTCCATTTCTTCCACTTCGATATTGTTTTCTACAAAAAAACACACAAACATGAGTAATAAATCGCAAATAAGATAAATAAACAGTAAGACAATTTTCAAGGCTTACCGTAGGTCTTAATCCTCTCAACTATCGAGAAGCACAAAAGTTAAGACAGTTAAGTGAAAGCTAGATAAAAACAAACAACAAAAAACTTACAGAACAATCGGCCTGTGACGATTGCACACACCCCGAATCGTCATTCCTGATACAACACGCTGTTTCCCGTTCTTTTGCCCTAATCTTATCAATCTGTTGCGAAATCTTGTCATCTATTCTCATACAAGGGGCGAATTTCGCCCCCAAATGAATCAAATCGCTGGCTCTTGGGCCAAACCTACAACCCGACATTAACCCGAGTCACGTATTTATTTTTTGTACTAACCAAAAATTCGCCGGTTCCATGTAATCAACCTGTTGTAACGACAAACTAGTCACTAAGACTTGTCCCGACCTTGAATGTAAATCAATCCCAAAGGGCCCCAACCCGTAACACACTAAAGAAATAAACAAAACTAAAATTTGTACTGTCGTCACCCAATAAGTGAACATCGGTCTATGGTCCTCCATGTCGTCCAATTGTTGTAAAATCTTGTCATCTTGAGTCACCGAATGTCGTATCGAACGCCTAAACAAATTTCCTTGTTTAAAATATTTTTTATAAATTGAAAAAATCGTACCCGAACATTCGACCCACCCAACCCATACCATATTGTCGACGGTTTGAATTGTCTAAAACGTTGTCAAGCAATGACGAAAACACCCTCGAACCTCCAACTGTGGGTCTATTCTGTCCCTCATGTCGTAACACCACATGGGGCTCTCTTCTCCAACCCCCAGAACCCGGCCGGATTGTTAACCGGTCTCTGTATGCTGGTTGGAGGGTGGCTTCGTGACCCCTATCTATCGTGTCACCTAGAAATATTTGCAAATGAACAATTTCTAAAAAATAAGCGTAACAAACCTTCCTCCTGGGGTCGGGGCGAGGTCGGAGAAGTCGGTTTTTGGAAAAATGTTTCCTCTTCGACACTGCTGGAACTGTAAGGAGTGTCAGGTGGAAAACTCCTCGATTGCTGGCTCTGTTGTGATCTTCTTCTAGGTCGGTGTCTCGTCAAAGTCTAAAAGCAATACATTATTACGACATGAGAAGTTTTCTTTTTCTTTATCCACAGATACAGTTAAGAGGCCTTAGGGACTCCTAAATTTGTTTTAGGACCGCGACATGAGTGTTTCATCCGAGTAACACAGAGGAAAAGACGTGTGTGAAAAAATACGTTATTCCTAAAATAAATATGCTAGAATTCTGCAACTTTCAAGAACGCTGTTTCATACAGGGTGTTTCAAAATGCGAACGTTTTTTAATCGTTAACTATAACACCCTAAATGCATCTTGATTTTTGTAGGGTTTACATTAGAAACTTTTTAACTTCCAATATAGCTACGGCTCTGAAATTTTGTATGCGACCAAAATCGGCAATTCTTAATTTAACTATTGTTTTTTAAATGACTGAACTACCGGAACTACAAAAAATTGACGCTAACTTTGAAGTTGTAAATGGAAAGTACCCATTTTTATTGCACATTTGAGTTTGCCTTCTCAAACTGAATAAAACGAACCCAGTTGTTGGCACTTATACTCTTTTTCATATTAATGTGCATGAAGTAGGTTGTAGAAGTCTAAATGAATCTTTAATTTAAAGGCCCATTTACACAAAAAGTGTCATTAATGTCATTCAGAACAAATTTAATCACATCAATAACGACAAAAATCTTTATGTTTGAATCCTATGTTGATTACGTTGTTTTTAATTATTTTTTGCTACATGGGGTACACATTTATTTGAAAAAATAATTTTTAGGGAAGATTGAGGTTGAGATTGTTTGAATTTTCGCATGGTTGCTACCTTAAAATGATCTCTTTTATCGACTACTTCGATGCACATTAATATGAAAACGAGTATATCTGTCATAGTATTTGACATGTCAATTTTTTGTCGAAATTTTTATTTGTAGGGGTCTATTCAAAAAATGACAGGTCTTGAACCCTTTGCAATAAGTAACTTATTTTTGACTGTTATGTTATAAATAAGTGTAATAGAATTTTGTTCAAGAGCTGTGATGTATTGAAAAAACTCCTACAAAAAAAAATTTCGACAAAAAAATTGACATGTCAAAAACTATGGCAGTAAAGTAACAACAAATTGGGTACCTTTTTTCTAAGTTTGAAAAAGCACATTTAAAAATGCAATAAAAATAGGTAATTTCCATTTAAAATTTCAATGTTGGCGCCAATTTTTCATAGTTCCTGAAGTTCAACCATTGTAAAAATAATTTAATTCAATTGAGAATAGCTGATTTTGGAAAGTTGAAAAGTTTCTAAAGTAAGCCCTACAAAAATCACCCTGTGTAGGCTGAACAAACTATATGGCAACGCAGAAACATTTCTTTGTTATAATTTTTTACATAATAACAGTTTTACACAAGAACGGATAAAACGAAACAACTCTGAAAATATTTTTTTTTTCGAGCTGGAGAATTAATTATTTCGCTTTTTAAAGTCAGTTTTAAATATTTATGAGATGGCCAAACAGCGATTACTTTTTTCTGAGTCAGTGGGACAATCAAACCAATGAATTATTCAGATACTTGAAAATGTGCGCACTAGACTCATTATAACCCCGTCAGTTGGGGTAAAAAATATAGCCAATCTCCCGATCGTCTTGATAAATTTTAAAGGGTAACTGTGTTTGTTCGCAAGCAATTTCGCCGCTTCAAAAATATTTATATCGACAGGTGCCAGCGAATTGCTGGTTGCCTATCTATTACAAATTATTGACTATTATAAGCCTGGCACACCTGTGTACACCCAAGAAACCCCACATTCTAATTGATGCTTTTTAGCGGACGTTTAATGAAATTTAAACCGCGACAGGCGTTAATAATTGGCATACAAAACAAATGAATAACACTCGTGTACAAATGAACAAGGCGGAAGGGGCAATGGTCCGGTGAAATATAACCGGTGTGTTGTTTGAAACGGGAAATAAATTGCGACGTAATTTTGAGCCTTTAAAATAAATAACAGAAATTGTTGTAAACAGCGAAAGGGGCTTGCACCTGTTGTAGGACTCGCGGAAAGTCCTCGATGATTGATAATAGGGCCAATCGTTGGACCTTCGAAGTTTGTTTTCGTTCCAACTAACGAAGTTAGTGATCAATGCTCGAAACTTAAGACTAAAGTTTGGATAAATTAGAACAACGATTTCGTGTATGAAAAGACAATAGTCTAATCGGGGAGTTTCTTATGCTTAAGCAGGATCCACCTGAAAACTTTCTATTTGTTTTAACAACAAACGTACAAATCTACTCTTTGCGAAGACGTGAGATTTCTTCGGATTTGAGACAAGACCACCGTTAACTAAATAACAGTCAAAACATTGTGTTCGGGGAAATACACGACAGCTTGATACGTTCTTTGTTTGTTTTAATTAAATGTTTTTCTAAGATATGTCAATTGTTATGTTTGAAAATAAATTAATTAAGTAACAGTAGCATCACGAAACATTTTATTATTCATGAACACCGGTAAATGTAAAATAAATCCAATTTAATTCTACCTACATTTATTAAAATATTCACCATTTTGTTGTGAATTATTCAAAATATTATTTACATTCGGGAGCAGCATTTTACAAATTTCGTGCTTCTTTCAACAAACTTAGCCAGCCACTTGTTAAGTAAACATACTTCTTCAGGCAAATTTAGCATTAAGAGACAATTAATTGAACGATTTTTTTTCATAAACAGCTGGGTAAAAATTAAATTGTAAACTAAATAAAACTTTAGAATTGAAATATAACTTCCTTTTATGAAAGCTTTATTGTCGCAATAAAGACAATCAATAAATTTTAAATGTCAATACATATTTTGTGTATTAATTTTGTTTTTCGGTAACTTTCAAAATATTAAAATTTCGCGATCAGAAATGATTTATCTTGAGACTCTTCTAGAAACACGATTTTAATCAAAATTCTCGTCGTTTGATAAAGTGCGTTTTCCTAATCGCATCTTCTCCCTTTTCGAGCGTTGATTGCGCCATCTCATTTATCCGGCCGCCACTTTCCTTGCAGTTAATCCGTCAAAAGTGCACCATGTAAGAGTGCGCTAACATTTCAACTGGTGAAATATCGCCCGGCCGACGCTTTTTCATTTATTAAACGACCAGAGACAAGCGTTCTATTCCTGCATAATCAGATTTATTCCGTTTGCGGAATGCCAATGCTGCAGCCGAGAGATTTATGAAAGGGATTTCTGTCATTTCGCGGGAGGAGGGACCGTTCCCTCGAGGCTAAAGTGTTAAGCTTTACATAGGAAGAAGAAGAAGAAGAAAAAACGAGTGTGAAATGGAGCGGAAATTTATTTTTATGTTTGGAAAATTGTTTACAACAAACGCGTTTGCGAATTAACAATGATGGGGTTTGAAAGAGAAACGAAGAACGGAATTTCCAAATAGCAGGGGTTTACTTCGAGCTTTCAAATTATTTTACTGGAATTAACGCTTTTGGATGAAAAGCCGGTGATTTTTCACAGTGGTGTGTTCGTATTAAATATTCAAGTGGGTGCTTCTAAACAATAATTATTAGGAGTTGGGACGTAACTAAACAGTTGGAATAGGTAATCAAAATGTTTTAGGAAAGTTTTGGGAAGTATTGATTTTACGGGAGGACGAGGAATACAGTGGCGTGCGAAACTGCAGGCTTTCTTCCAGGAAAAACAATAAATATATGATTTCATCAAAAGTGATTTTTATTTATTCATGAAACCCAAATGCAGGCGATATGATAAAAATGCGCAGTTGCTCAGGGTTTTTTACGTTTTAATTAACCCCAGTTCTTTCATCTTTTTTTTGATATAACTAGTTGAAAAATACGTTTCAAATTTCATAACAGATTCTTTGACTTTCAAATACAGGGTGTTTTAAAATTCGCTTTCCAGCGAAAAATGCCACGTAAGGTTATACCAGGCACATGGAAATAAAAAAATACCTATAAACATGATGGAAGTTTAAATTTTGTACAGTTGCGGAATTAAAATTTCGAGCAGTATTTTTCTGTAACTTTAAAAAGTTCACTGTAAACTACCTTTTCTGTCATCAAGACTGACATTTGACAATTAAACGTATTTTTGTTATTAAAATTGTTAATTAAACAATTTGTCTGTCTTAGGAAATTTATTAATTGAACTAAATCTAATTAAATCATCACAAATCACTATTTTTTAAAGTAAATAAGTCAAAATGATATAAACATGACAAAGGTTGTTTTAAAGTTTAAAATATGAAAATGACAATACAGCACAAAATTTTAATTCCGCAACTGTACTTTGACTCTATTTATTTCTTTTGAAAAAATAATTTTTCAAGTTTTTTTTTGCTACAGACTATTAGAAGAGGAAACAAAAAAACTGAATTCTGAATGTAACTATGTTTAACGTTATTTGTGGCTTTTATTAACAAAAATTTTATACCTTTACTAAATCATTATGAAAAAACGTATATTGTACAAGATCATCAGTAACCTTAAATAGATGGAAAAAAAAGTTAAATGTCAAAAAATAAATATCAAAATTGTTTGACAGATAGAATTTGGTATTTTTTCCATGTTCCTGGTATCTTATCTTACTAAAAATTTCTCTCAGGGGAAACACCCTGTATGTTGGTTACACATAAACTTTTGAAATTTCAAAATTCGGTTTTTGGAACCTCTTGTGCTAGTTGACACTTACATTAACAACGTAGGACAAGCCGTCCCAGGTCATTCTCGCCACCGAGTCCTTTCGCCGCACCGTGACCTCATGCAACCTCTCCTGATTAGTGTCTACAACATCGTTCGGCCCCGGAAGAACATCAGGTCTTTCAGCTTGTAACTGTCCCGACATCCGGCCGCCCGGAGCCATCTCGGAAATGGTCCGTCTATACGTCGACCCCAACGTCCTGTACTCATCTTTTAACGGCCCATACGTCCTGTAAAAAACCCTCAATCCTCACACTCCACTCCAATTTCCCCTAAAATACCTGGAAGCCATTCTGATCCTGCGATCCAGCCATCTCCTTTGCTGTTTCTCCTCACTCTCTTCATCCACACCGAAAAAAGTGGCAGTTTCCTTCTTTATGTAATTTTTGATCATTTCTTTCCGTGATAAAGATCGAGCTAACGATGGCCGATTTGGCAACCTCTCGCTTTGGGTGTACCCTAGACGGGGTTGTATCCTGGGCCGTTCCGGGGGAGAGGTTGCTGGCAAGGAAACCGCCCTTTGGACGGGTGGGATTTTCGACGACGCTGGCGAATGTTGAGGCTGGCGAAGTTCTGGTGTTTCGGAGGGTTTCGGGTCGGATGATGATGCGTCATCAGTTACTGGAGTGGTAGTACGTTGTTGCGGCGGCGAGGGCTGTTGCTGTGGGGCTGGGGGCTGCGAAGGCGCCGCTGCCCTCCTACAACAACAAAAAAAACACAAATTTACATTTCGAAGAGCTAGAAATGTTTTTTAGATTCATTTTTAGTGTAATTCTGCAAAGTTCGTATCTAATGGAGAGTGTGTTGTTGTATCCATGCGCCCCCTGGAGTTTCTCCAGCGTCAATTAGATCAGTAATTTAACGGAATGGCCCATCTGGTCGGCGCAACTCACGTCGGTCAAACCGAAAGCGGTTGACCGCAAGTCTGGAAAACAGTACTCCCGGAAACAATATATAAAGGGCAGACGATCCGTCAGGCACCGACAAGGGTCAGTGAAGAAGATCCGGCAATTCCTTTATCCCGGAAAGCGACTCATGCGAACATTTCCGTTTTAGTTTCCTCAATAATTGTCTCCGGATCGCTTTATGACTGATAACGTCGGAGGTTCGTTTAATTGCGTGTCTTGGAGCCTGAGATCGATATTGCAATTGACACCCTTTTGGGAGGATTGAATTAGGAGCGTATTTGTAGAGCAGTAAAGAGTTTAAAGACATTTTTACCGATTTGGAATTCTCGACAGGCTCCACTAAGTCATTTGGCGGTTTCTATCCGAATACGTGCTTTTAGTTGAAGTGCAACTTCCTTTATTCCCAAGACTATAAACTTGGACGCTTTTGTTCTCGTATAATAATAAGATATCGAACTCGGGGTTGAGTTGCTTGTTTAATGTACCTGGAATGTACCATCGGAAAGGGTTGTTTAAATCGATCTGATCAAATCGTAACGGCCTACTCCATAAAAAAAGTAAACAAATGTTGCGAAAAGAACACTGGAAAAATAAACGAAAAAATCACTAGCTTGGCTCGGACTTATCGGAGACGTTGCGCTCCTAAATCCTAAATTTATCCGGGAAGTAGAACACCTTTATCTCCACTCCGCAAGTCTATTATTGTTAGTGGTGCGGATATCACAGACTTATTTCAGGCTATACAAACTTACACAAGCTTTAAATTAAATATTTATCAACGAAATTACCAAACCAACCTTAAAAACTAATTTAAAATTATTAACAAACTTGAGGCGATACCGAGAAAACTAAGCATGCCTTAACACTTTTACAACGACAAACAAATCGTAGACTCCCAGGGTTGAAGAGAAAAAGCAAACATGTAAATCGAGAGATGCAACAAAAAATAGAAATTTTTGCAATTCATTCTTTGTGTAATATCTAATGAATTTCAACTGCAAAATGGTGGATGCGCCGGGTTGAGCTTTTATCACATTAGTATCTCAATTAAAAATTTAAAAAAAAACACCTCTTCACATGATAACATGAAAAAATTGAGAGAGGGAAACATTACTGAGTCTTAATAAAAAAACTAATAATCACAAATTTTTAGACAGCTTTATTCCCCCCACTTAGTGCTTTTTTATGTCTGCAATTTGATGGCCTGCAATAAAAACCTATTTTTAATCTAGATTGTAACGCTGGACATTGTAAAAAAAATCATAAAAAATGAATACAATGTTCAGAAATAAAATAACCCTTAAAAATACCTCTTTTTCAAATTAATTATAATTTGGGAGTAACTAGGCATTTTTGATGATTGTGAATTAATATTACTAATACTAAGAAGGTGAAGCGCTTTTAGTTGTCTATGCTCAAACATAGATTTTGCTCCAACATTCTTCGAATTACTCAAAGTTCGTCGACTGCTAAAATACATATTTAAAATTCAACTAGTTGCCCACCAGTCAATACGATATGAATATCTGAAGCATATTTTGAACAAAAAACAGATATTTCCATGAATTTATAACGGTAAAATGAAAATATTTTCGCTACTTTTCAAAACTAAATATGTACAAAAAAAATACAAGAAATGTACTGACAGATGCACAATGTATGGTTTGCAGTTTTTCAAACCTTTATAGCGTAAATAAATTGGAAATGAAACAACGATATGTGCATCGTTTCCGTTTTCATCTCGACATCGAATTTCTTTCCAAACTTACAACTCCATTTTTATTTCAGTAACCTCTCAAAAAGTTAATTTAAAATTCTTCGATATATCAATAAAAACTTTTACACCAGTATCAAATTCTTAAAAATCGCCTCGGATTGTTGAAGTTGAAGAACGACAATAACAAATTTCCAAATTTCAAATCGGGTTTGTATGCATTCGACTAAATTTCGCAATGCTAATTTTATTGCCTTTTCTATAAAGTTTGTTTCGAGTTGGATTGATGAAATCTCTCTCCAATTGATCCTTTGAATGCTGAATATAAATTACTCGTCAAGATAAACGAAAAGATAATTCCGGAGTAAGAAAGTTTTGCTCGACGAAACAAATTATAAAATCGTGAATACTAGACTTGTATGTACGTGAAATAAATCGGTTCCTGTTGTGCATGAGGAATTGAATACAAGGATTGAAATAAACTTCTCAAAAAAGTTGCTTCAACGCGGAAAATAACTTTGAAATATGACTGGGTTCTTCCGACAGCCGGGGACGCCATTTTGACACTTATATGGCGAATTTAAAGCAAAAACCAAGAAGTAATCAATAATTCTCATTACAAAACTTATTTTTTATAGTAACAAACAAAAAAATCTGTAATTAGTTTTGTTGCCGTCTTTTCCCCTTATTCATCGTTTATTGGTAATATTTTCCCGTTAATCGCGACCTATAAATCGCCCCTTTTATGTAACATTTTCCCGGAATCGATTATTCCGAGGTGGTCGTGCCGCCACTTGATGTGCCACACAATCATAATAATAGTAATTCGAGGGAAGCTATGAAGTGGCGGGAAATCCGACGGACCGGATCGCCCCCTGAGGGGTTATTACGACCCGATCTCCTACTCGTATTACATTTAATGACCAAATGAACGCTATCACGTCCCTTAGATAACAGTTGAAGTTCATCGTTCAACTGGTAGCCGGCAGCGTTTCGAACTTTGATTTTTACTAAACGGTCAATCTTGGATAAACTGTTGATATCGGAGGGTCGGGGGAACGATTTTCTTATCGGTCAGATCAGCTGGTGTCAAACTTGATTACGGATTGACCTACGATCCTCATCATCAATCATCATTGGTGCTATCAGAGACGCGCACTCGAATGGGGGTTTTTGTTCAACTGAAGGGAAACAAAAAGTTTCGAATTGTTAGAGGGTTGAATTTGGGTCAGTAGAGTTAGAATGCAGACTTTTTCTTCCGTTTCTGCAAACAACTTGAATGAATAAACACCATTATTTATTATTTCATTCGGGGGTTGTAGTATTTCGAACCAGAATAATTCTCAGACTAACAAGTTTATAAGCGAACTAAAAAATACCCACAGGCTACTTGTAATTAGAACTGGAATTCTAGGAAGTTTTGAAACAATAACAATTTAAAATACCGAATCAGGTTGATAAAGCAACTATTTTTTTATTATAAGATATCGCCATCCGGCGTCCCAGCAACTTTTTATAAAATACTGCATCTACTTTTAAATTAATGTTTTATTGGATCCAAAAATTACTTATAATGAAAAATTTATAGTGTCAGATAGTGTGTTTTTCATTAGTTTCACTTTTACAAATACTACTCTCAAATTAAAATAAAGCAGTTTTGAGTCAAAAGCAATTAACTAATAATAGTGCAGATAAAGGGTGTCCCAACGGGAGATGTAATTTTAATTAAAAAAAACTCATTTTTTTAATTGAAGTTTGTATTTATATCAAGTTCGAACATTGCCATTAAACATGGAATACAACATCTGTCAAATGTTCGCCTCTGATTCTTTAGCAGGAAACCATTCTTTTACGGAAGTTTTGGACATTTTCACATAAAGAACAAAAGATTAAAAAAAAAAAAAAAACAAAAAAGACAATTATTCCGGGAAGGTGGCCCTTCACGTTTAACTTTTGCATTAAAAAAAAATCCATATGAATTACGAGTTAATTATATTCTTTGGTTCAAGTAATTTCAAGTAATTTGGTTCCAAATAAAATTTTAATAATTTATGTGATAATTTTTTAATGTACCTAATTCAAATTTATGCTGATGATGGTTGCCGAAACATGTTCCTACGACGGTAAGTTATATTTTTTTACAATTGGGAAAGCAACTATATTACCGCCAACTCTTTCAATTCTAAAACAAGACGATCATTCTCAACAGAGATGTGGCAGATAATAACCAACAACAAAAAGTTCGATTAAGATCTTTTGTTTATATTGTTATGTAAATTTATGTTGTCATTATCAAGTTATAAAAAATAGGTATTTTGTAGATACTGTATTTTACACTGGGAAAACGACTTTTGCGCTGTGGTTATTGTTTTTAACAAAACAATTTAGTTTATTAGTTTTACACGAATAATTACTAATGAGTATTTAAATGAATGTAAGCATGAAAATAAAAAAACTCTTTTTTTTTAATTGTTGGTTACTGTATTTTTCTTGGGACAGCCGAATTATGTCAAGAGATATTTGTAAAAGCTGATCAAAATTTATCAGTTATTCCACACTGCTTGGCTAACAAATTTGAAAAAACTTTTGCAAGTCGCCATGTGTAAATTTTAATAAACCTCGGGTCAGTTAGTGGCGAGTTATTTTTCCTTGGGTTATAAAAGACGTAACAGAAGGGTCTAGGGATTTAATTTCGGGTCGTGAAAAGCCGTGTGCGCCAAGAGGAACTAAATGAATGAACATCATCCACAAAATCACTTTACAAGTAACAAAACGAAAGTGGAAGTTTTCTTATCGACGCCCAATGGGACCTTTCAACACGATTTGCTTCACGAAATCGTCATTTAGTTTCCCAACACGAGATTGAATAAAAAGCTCGACTTATTAATGACCAGTCTTTAATCGAAGAGAAATCACAGTCTTGTCAGCAAACACCAGAATATCTATTTTTAAAGAAGAGACTACAGCCGGCATATTTCACTCGGTATAAAGTGACTTGGCACACAGATAAATTATTCAGAGTCGATCGGAAATGTTACGGGTTTATAGACGCAGCTTTTGTTTTATATAACAGAGA